AAAAAAAAAAAAAAAAAAAAAAAAAAAAAAGAAGCCAGAATGCATTAATTTAAATACTTAATTTTCTATATTCCAAAACTTTGTATGTAGTTATTTTTAACCTGGTTTCCTAGGGAAAGATGTTCCTGCAATCATGTTTCACTAACCACCCACTGTTAATAACTTCAGGAGCCTTTGTGTTGATCACAGACTTCAGGTAGGGCAGCAATCTCAGTTCTGAAATCCACAGCTTCACAAACACAGGCCAGGTAGAAGGGACAGGATCCAGTTACCAGCTGGTGGGGATGCAGCAGTGAGCAAGGTCAGGCCTTACAGCTACAAATGGGAGCATCCATGTGGAAGAGACTTCACTTCAGAAAGACGGCAGTGGGGAAATGGCCATCAGCGTGGGGGCACTGGTGGGGACCAGCAGCCAAAGCCAGAAGAACCAGTCCCAGCAAAGGTGCCCTTCAGTCCCATTCCTTTGGTGCTGCTCCTCATGGCTGCTTCTTGGCTCTTGACACACTGCTCATGAGAAGGCCTCCAGATTGTGGATGACAATGCTGCAAAAGAATGTACCAGCTTTTCAGTCTGCCTCTTTGTGTGGGCTCAGACAGCTGGCCCTCAACCCTTGTCTCACTTGTGCACCAGTCCCTCCTTTTTCTTTTTTCCTTGCAGTAGGAAAACCAAAAGCACATTTTCCTGGATGCTACTGACACCAGCATTCATGCATTGCCTCTAAGCTCTCTTACCTCTGCCAAGGCATTATGGAATGGCTGTCCAGTTTCTTCAAGAATATACCAGCAGAAACAGAAACACAGCAGGCTTGGATGGGCTTGAGACATAGCTATGCTTTGGGAGACAGCTGCTGCAGATGCAGTCCTGTGTTGTGATCAGCTTGTGTGCATGTCTTACGTCATTGCAGAAACACTGTGGTAGTGTTAGTGGTCCAAAGGCTAGGAATGCACCTTTCAACAGAAACTGGTTGCATCAATTTTATCTCAAATCACAGCGTTTATTACACAAACAAAACCCAAAGTTATTGGGAAATGTGCTTTTCCTAGTAGTGTCCTTCTATTCTTTCAGCAGTAATATTCCCATTATACTACAGTGTCATCCACTGAACTAAAACAAAACAAAGTTTAGGAGCAGCCAATAAATAAATGCTGAAGTTGGCTGTAGAAATTATGATATGCTAAATTCAACTTTTAAAAATCTCTTGATTTTATGGTATGAAAAAGAAGGAAGAATTCTGGTGAATTTGTTTTTTCTTTCTCAAGCTTCTTTGCTCTTTTGTCTTGCTTTTTAACATTATATGGATTATTCCTCTTTAGTTTGAAAGCATGCACTTGCTGTGTGGTGTGTGGATCCAGTCTTGCAACATGGCACATATTTGGGAATGATGCTGTTGGGAAATGGCACTTTCAGCATACATAATTGCTGCAGGAATTCTGCTTTTGACGTGTCTTCAGACTTGAAGATGAGCTTAAGTTGGTAATGCTGCTTTTTCTTTGGAAAATGTTGACCTGTCCAGAAGACACAGGCACCTTTTATACTAAGTCTGCTGCTGCTGCTTTAGTTTCAGTTCGACACCCACTACACTGTTCCTCTGTTTACTGTTTTAGCAATTAAATAATAGAGTAGTAGCCTTTAGAAGAGTGCTTGGAGCTATTCACAGAAAAGTAGTACATACTTAGACTAATAAAAAATTCCCTTTTATTTATTCTCTAGTCAAGTGAATTTCTGTTTGGCTTAAGCAGATTTTGAAATCCTGTCTACGTCATTTGTATTGTTAATATATTACAGGGCTTTATACCACATCACATTACTGGGAATAGTTTTGAAATATATAAAGATCAAAAATGCAGATATTTTTAACAGTGGTAAGTAATTTTCTGTCATAATAGCCAAAATAAAGTGCCATGAAGATATTAGTAGTAAATCAATTTTTTTGTATGCAATTTGGTATAAATACTGACAAGCTGAAAAAACCCCCAACCCCAAACAACAAATGCATACTCATTAGTCATTCAGTTTAGCAGCACAGAGGCAGCAGTCAGCTAGGGTGTGCGTTTTTATGTCTGCTTCAATTGCACACTTCATTTATTTGGACATGGCAGAGGCGGCTTTCTCTGTCACACGGCATCACTGCACGATTAGCAAGTTGCGCCCCAGGGCAGCTGGGACGCTTTGCTGGGGCAGATGTTCTTTTCAGCTTATTCAGTGGCCGTTGTGGGGTTGTTTACTGTTGTCATAGATACCTGCATTTCCATAGCAGCCGAGCTGTTGTGTGTGAAGCAAGTGAATATAGTTATAAAAGGATCATATTTTGTTCTGTCTCTATAACTTACCATCTGTCAGCTGACTTTTCATGATGGATTCAGAAACCAATTTAAGAATAACAGCAGCCAGCTGATCATTTTTGCTTATATTAAAGTGACAATGGACAAAAATGCAAATAAGTTGGTGCTTCAATGAAATGCTAGTTTCTTTTTTTTTTTCTTAATTGCAGCAGTTTGTCTTCCAACACTTTCTCAAACTTTGCTGAAATCTTTCTTGACAAATAGAAATGACCAAGTGTCATCTTCTGTACTTGCTCAGGTATTCCTTGTGCTTTCCCATCCCTCAGCTGTCAGCTCATCCCTCTGTTGCTTCCAAATTGTGATGTTGCACCTGTTTTCACAGATCCTTTATAATGAAATCTAAATACTGTCCACAGAATTAAAGAGGGAATTGGTGAGGCTAACAGCAAAAGTATCATGCACACACAGGCATAAGTATGGCTCAGTGACACAGATCACCACTCTGTTTAGTAGTAACAATGGTGTCACGTGCAAGTTTGGGGATAAATTTAATGTGTAGTCAGCAAGCCCTCTGAGTGGTGAACTCTCAGCCTTTCCACTTGGAGATGTGGTCAAACCTGTAGTTTAGCAATGAGGGTGAGAAGATTAGCCCAGTTGTAAATAATGTATTTATTGGTTGATTTTTCCAGATCCTGACATTGATGCTGCCACTGCCATGATGCTTTTGAATACTCCCCCTGAGATACAAGCAGGTTGTGAGTAGATACTTCTATAGCATATAGCAACATAGACGTATAAAATTAATATTCTCTTCTATAAGTATATAGCATACCAGATAAAAAGGATGTAATAAAGAAATATAACTTCCCTTGTAGACCCTTGCACTTCCTTGACCCTTACATGAGTATAATTTTGTGGTTCATATTACATTCGTTATATGAATAATATTAATCTGTGATCTCTAATGTAAAAGAGAGGTTATTGTTATTCATGACATACACTTAAATGAGAAACCTACTATTATCCATATTGATAGAAAGACCTGGGGCAACAGCCAGGAGAAAGGCAGGGAGAGAAAGAGAGCAAGAGAGTGAAGGATACATGGCATATGGTTCTGTTTTCATTTTGTTTTGATTTGACTCCTATCGTGTAAGTTACCACAGCCATCTGGATACTTCCCATTCACTTGGGCACTGTTTCAGCTCCTTCCTTGCACACATCCTGCCTGTTTCAGGGTTTTTTTCTCTGACTGATGCAAGGCGGTAGGCAGGTGACAAGGAGCAAAGAGCGGTCTCATTTCCTGCCAATACTGTCCTCCCTGTTCTGTGGCCAGACCTAAGGTTTTAATGCTGTGTATCAGCAGAGCACTGAAGAGACCTTGACCCCCACTGTACTGGGCTGTGCAAATACTGCAGGAACCATCCTGCCCCACAGAGCTTGCAGTGAAGGTATTACAGGAATCCATAGTGGAATACAGCTGCACAAAACAGACAATACAAGAAGACAAACATATCACTAGTCAGCAAGCGTGGTACTAATGCCAAGTGACAAGCAGCTCTAAAAAAATAAAGGCAGAAGTTAAAATAGAAATCATTACCAAGACTGTCTAGCATCACTGCTATTGTTCTAGCCTGGGCAACCAACTCCAAATTCCAGGGGAAGCCTTGATTTGCACTTTGATACTCTGCCTGGGGAAGAGAGTCGATTACCATCAAAGCATTTCCCATGCAGCTGAGCAAAGCTATTGTCAGCCTGCTTTGTGACCCTGCCAGAGGAAGGCTTCTTGCTAAGCTTCTCTCAGGAGAGTGTGATGTACCAAGGAACTGTTCCAGAAAGAGAAGAATGGTCCTTGTCCTCCTCTCCTGAGCAGCTTTCAGGAAATTGTGCATGGTAAAAGTGCAAACAATCCCTGATGTATGTAGGTAGGAAAAAGGAAAGATTTATTGAGAAGAGGAGGTTATGCTTTGTAACTGAATAATTAGCTTTACGGTTTTTAATGACCATTTAAAATGCCACACCCATGTGTGGAACACTGCTAACAATTACAAATTAATTCTAAAATCAGCGTTTGCTTTTATATGAAACTTTGAAATGGTGTCTGATGAACATTGCTTACCATTACCCCAATTCCACCATCCTCTAGTTTATTCAGAAAAACAAAAGGTCATAGTAAAAGAGTAAAATACTGTTATTAGGATTATTTTGTATTTGTATAGGTTTTACTGTATAGACTTACAAAACTGTTCACATTGCTGCTAAAGGTTAGGAATATGCAATTATTGTTAGAGGATTAATGTCAGAAATCAGTTTCTGAATTATTAACACTTTGCAATATATTCACAGACCAAACACTTACCAATTTTAACTAAAGGCAGAAGTTCAAAGTAGCCAGAGCCAGCTGTGTACAAGTTTCTACTGAAACCTGCAATCCAGCTGGCACGAGGAGTTAAAGCATGAAAGATACAGTGATATGCTAAGAGAGTGCATAGCAACATAGATTTAATACTTTTTTGCTTCAGTTTATTGAAGTCATGTTTCATCAGGCTTTGTAGGTTTGTATTTGAAAACAGCAATTGAAATACCTGCTTCCTTCAGAAGCAGCCTATCATAAGTTACAAATACTTGGGATTTTATTAGTATTAAGTTCATGAATATTAATTCCAAAATATTTGACTTGCACTGAAAACTGTATCTTTATCTGAAAAGCACTGTGTGGGCCATCTTAGTCATGTTGCATCAAATTTATGGGCCTGTTTCCTTCTCATTAATCTAATTTGGAGAGAGGACAGAAGAAAACAGGATGGTGAACAAATGGTAGAGCTCAGTTTAAAACTCATGGGTACTAACTCAGTGAAGTCCATGAGTGTGTTCTGTACAAAAGATTTTCACCATTTCAATTCTTACCAATGTCTTGAAAGTGAATATTGCTAGCTGTCATTCCAGTATAGTATTTCCTGTTCCTGAAAGTGTGGCGTCCTGGCCGTGTCACTGAGTCTTGCCAAACCATGATGTTTTGTCATTATTTAAATGGGAGATAGGTTTTGATGCTTTTGCAGTGTGTTTGAATTCCTGAGATTCAAGTCACTGGAAGCATATAAGTAGCAACACCTTATTAATTGGTGAGGTCATTTTGAACTTTGAGCCACTTGCTTTTTTGGAGGGACAAGTAAAGAAGAGACAGTGTTAGTGTATAGCTGCTACTGCTAGTGCTGTGGTCAGAGGGATTACCCTGGAAATACTGATTTAATTTAAAAAGCTTCTCAGTGCTGTTACACATAGCTTCAATTGAGTTAATGTATAGTCCTTTGCCTGTTGCTATATAATTTTTGAATTGTACACAAATGCAAGTACATTGCTCAACATGAAGTTTAATACTGCAAACAGCTATTAAACAGTGCTCACAGAAAGGGTTTGGGTAGAAACCAGGAAACTGAGAGTCTTCCCAGCTCTGACATCCACCTTCTGATTTCAGTACTGCTGCCCACTACTCGGTTGGGTTGTCTAGAATGTGGTGGCCTTCAGAAAATTTAGCAACACTGGTTTTGTGAGTGGTTCTTTATAGGAGACTGAAGTGCTGTGATAGAGATGTTTAGGAAGACACAAGCATGGAGTTTTGCTGGGTGGTTCTTAAAAAATAGGTTTTCCAGGGTTAAAACCGGTGTCTCTCTGATTTGGAAGTCTTTGTTAATCTTTGTCTCAAAATATATAAAACACAGACTAGATACATATACTGTAAGTTTGGTGGGAGAAGTAATTCCATGAAGAGATCTGCTTTACCTCTATACTTCTAACATCGTACCCCAGTGAAATTCACTTTTTACATTAATGCAAGTGGATTGTGTATGAGCAAGATACATATACAGGAATGAAGACCAAAAAAAAATAGCCTTAATGACAGTCAGAAATTCTCCAAATAGGATAAAATAGAACATGCTGTTTTGTTGGGAAATTTTTATTGTACATGAAACTTGATAGATGTAATATTCTGTTTGTACTGCTTATGGACAAGTCACTTACTATAACTGAGACAGCTTCCAGCCTAACTTTGAGTATCAGAAAATGATAAATTATTGTGAGTAAAATGTTTCATAAAGCTATTTTTACTAACAGTTTTGCATTAAAGCAAAAACTAGGAAAAGCCATTTTCATAATCTTCAAACTTTCTATTGCTGGATTTTGGTTGGGATTTTGTTTTGGTTTGTTTTACTTTGATGATTAATATTAAGCCATTAAAGGGATGAAATAAATTTGGAAAGAAAGCTGACTTTTGTGAAGTACTTTCTACTTTTTTCTCCATACACCTCATAATATTTTTAGAAAAAGTACTAGTGTGGTAGGATTCTCAGGATACATTTGTCGCCCCCACTTCAATTTCTGTTTAGAATAAATGGCTTGTTGGATGCACCCTAGATTTGCACTTTGTAAGGACTACAGAGTATGGAATTTACGAGCTATTAAATAGTCCTTAAGCCATAAAATACAGGTTGAGCAGATGTCGTCAAATTTGTGCCTGGGATAAGATAGTTGTAAAAAGTTACACATTTGGCAGAAAACATTTGTTTTTGGCAGCTTCTGATGTCCCGTCCGCTATAGTTAATCAGCAATTTCCTACTTTCAGTTCTTGTAGCCTGATCTAAAGAATTCTGCTAAACACTGTACTGGAGGAAAGCTTGACAGAAAAGAGCTGAAGCTGACATATATTAGCCAAAACTCAGTACCTCTTGTCTATAATGTTTTCTTCCGTGCTGCAGAAGCTGGGTCAGGGAAGAGAGCCCTGAGATCAATGCATATGCCATGTAATGACAGAGGAAGCAAAGGACCAATCTATCCCTACAGGATACACTCACACATTCTGCTTCTTTAAAATTCAGTTCTCAGTAAATACTATTCATTCTTCCTAGCTAAGTGGTGACTACCTTGAGCTAGACAGTTTAATAAAGTGTATATTTATTTCCTAGATCACACGAAGAACATGCTTTTTACCCAGTTCATTGTCTTTTTTTGACAACAAATTTCACTCCTTGCTTATACTTCATTTAACTTTCACATGCCAATATTTAACCAAGAAGTTAGTTTCCTTTTCTAGTGAGCTTTTGGGGTGTCAATGTGTCTGATGACTATCCATTATTTCCTCCTTCTTTTGCATTTTAATTTTACCAAATTGCTGCACTGTTTGTTATACAATCAAATCTTCAGGGAAAGACCCAGTCTGACATGGATTTTCTAACACTGTTGTGAAGATCTTGGATGAGGTGTTTATCTCAGCCAGAATGGAGCTTGCTTCACTTGCACATACCTGCAAGTAAGAGGTCAGGGATGCAGTCTGTTGAGAGATGTGATGAAAGAAGTCCATAGTTGGAATAATCTACTCAGCTAATGTGCACACAAGAGCGTGCCCTGGATTAAAACAGTCCTGCACTGGCTGTGGAGTGATCATGTAGCACTCTACTTACTTTTCACCTACAGACCCTGAGTATAGGCTGCAAAAGAACACTGGATTTTTGAAGGGCTTCCATTGAATCCTTTTAACACTATGTGAACATAGTGCCTTGGTGAATTCAGAGTATGGTATGTTCTCCTACATGTCATTCACTTTATTGTCAGTTAAACTATAGCATGAAAGTTCACTACAAAAGGAAGATTTTTTTTTTTTCACCTTGGAGAATTTCAGAGGCATAGTCTTGATTTTTAACACTGGATGCATTACTTCACTCCAGAGTTAGCCAGTGGAGACTCAGCTGGCTGAGTCTGCTCAGGTTGTGAAATTCCACCAGAACAGCATAAGATCCAAAAATAATTTCCCCATTCATGCAGCAGATTAGGGGCAAATTGTCGGTTCACAGTTTGACTCTACTCCAATGTAAGTGTTTCCTGGGTTTAAGTTTCCTGAGAGCAGAGTAGACCCTTGAAAACATAGCAGTGATGAAAGTTGAAAGGTGAATAATGATTTTGCCATTTCAGACTCTTTGTCTTTCACTGGGAACATTTTCTGAAAAAGGAAACCTTCATCAAAGAGATGCACAGGTCTTCTTGCATTGTTTTCTTGAGCTGAGTTTCTCAGACATAAACAGCTTTCAGCGCTTGCACAGAAAAGGTGTAAATTACATTTCACACTTCTGCCTAGGAATTAGGAACCTGTAACCTGCCCGTAGTGTTGGTTAAAGAAGCATTACAAGAGAGGGGTCAGGACTGTAAGGTGTTCATCCAGATTGGCAGTGACTGATGATATGGCTTGGAGTAAATTATCTTACCTCCACACCTTGAATCTTCAATCTAAAATATAAATATCTCAAAGTATGGGTTTGAAACGTAATTAAAGCTTGTAAGGTATAAATGTATCCTTGGAATAAAAGCACCACAAAATTTCAGTAAATAATCCACAACCCTTCAAAAGCACCAAGATGTAGAAATAATTCCTTGAATATAAGTCACTGTCATACAGCCTGCACAAAGGCTGGAAGACTCTGTGGGTACCAGGAACACTGTAATAGCAGTTTATTCGTAATCTTTTTTAAATTAAGTAATTAATGTTATTTTTTGCAAGGATCAGTTTTGATGCTTTAAATGCTCTAAGTAGAGATGAATGAGCAAGAAAGACCAGTCTTACAGTGGCACATTGGTAATGTGAATAACTAGAAATTAATATCTTTTACTACTGAAATATTTTAATCCTGGTTTTCATTTTAGGTTTAGAATGCTACAGAAGCTGATTTACCAGAAAGTTGGGATGGTGTGTTTTTTTTCCTTTATGGTTCCATATATGTCCTGAAAGGATATGCTACATAGTCCAGTATCCTTCTTCAGTGATCCCTTGCATACAACCTTTCTGTTTGTCTGAGTGATGTAGTGGTTGTGCTGAATTATAATTCTGAGAGTCTGAGGAAACGAAACAAAAATCAGAAGCAATAACACAGCTTTTGCAAGCTGAAATAGTTAGTCTTACTGAAGCCTTTCAGTGAGTGGTGATACAAGGCACAGGCTGGCCGTGATTGAAGGGAATTTCATAGGCAGGACAAGAGACCAAGTTGTCTCTTAGAGGATATTTTCAGAAGACAGCAAACCTCTGTGTTTTCTCTTTTTACAAACATTTTTTACTTCTTGAAGGGAATATGTGGAGAGAGAGAGAGAGAGAGAGAGAGAGAGAGAGAGTGTGTGTGTGTGTGTGTGTGTGTGTGTGTGTGTGTGTGTGTGTGTGTGTGTGGTGTGTGCACGTGCGGGTGTACGTGTGTTGACATGGGAATGTTTTAAATGTGAAGCTTTTGAAGAGAATGTTTCCTGGATAGGACTCCGTGACTTGCAAACCTGCAAAGGGCCAAGGAAAATGAGGGATGGGTTCCAGTGAGGGTGTGAATGTATAGAAATCTTAAGTTGTGAGACTTGGCACTGTATTTCATATAGATATGGGTATAGATACATATATAGGAGTGCAGGAAAAAAGGAAGTTCAGAAGAGGTAAAGAAGGGAAGACAGGAAACTAATTTTTGAGAATTGGTGAGGAAGCAAATAGGATGTTCTAAAGAAGCAATGGGAGTTGTCAATAAGGGATAGAGGAGAAGAAAAATAATAAACATCAATTAACTCTGCCAGCAGACAAGGAAAATTAGGTAATTTGGGGAAAGAAGAGTTTCGGCATCAAGGAGCCTGTTGCTCTCTTTTTGCAGTAGCACTTTCAGTATGTTTGCCTTGAAGTTTTACAGTGTATATTTAGACAGTATCCATAGCTAACTGACATTCTTTGCATATGCATAAATATTTCATTTCATGATAAAATTATGGTTTGTATCATGGTGCGGAGAAAATTCCCACATCTTTCTCAGTCAAAACTCCTGGTTCCTTTCTTTTGATGGGACTTTATAAACATAGAGAAACCATACTATGTAGTGCAGTATAAAATCTGTTCCTCTTAAAAGTTTGTTGGAATAACCATGCCCATTTGAAATTATGTCTTTTTATTGATCTGTCAGTATTCAGCACATTTTTCTGTGGCTTTGAAATTACCTGTTACCTTCACATTTTAGGTTATCCATGTCTTTGAGCAGACTGCTTTTCTTTCATGACACTGGTGTTTCAACCATCTCAAGATTATGCTGTTGAAACAAATATAGTAAGAAATTCAGCTTTTTGAAATTTAACATGATAACATTCCTCTACAGTATCTACAAACCAGAACATCGGAGCAGAAAAAGCCTTACATTGTCCCCTGAGTGAAAGAGCTTTGATAAACTCATAAACTAGCGATGAAGGAAAAAGTATACAGAGTAGGGAGGTATAAATAGCAAAATGCTATTTAAAATTATTCTGGTCATTGAAAGCTGACCCAAGTTGTTATAAACTAGGTTCTGTAATTTTAGCCATATGAGGCACCTAAATATAACTGACCTGTTCTTCAAAGGTGCTCAAAAGCAAGAGTGGGTGTAACACAGTGACAGGATTTGATCGGGAGAGTGATGTGCTCTCACAAGCAGGGTAAAGAAGATTATTTTCCTAGAACTAATCTGTGTGGTCAGGAGTGAAACAAGGTGAGCACCAGGACAGCAAGAGGGGAGGCATCGGTCTGGCTTGATGTTTATAGGAGGTTAAGTGTACCTCAGCAGCTTAGAACTAACGTACTTCTGAGCCTATACTTCTCTGCCTCAGAATACACTGGCATGTATTTTGGGGTGTGAGTATTTGAAGTTGGGCATGTAAAGTGTGTGTGTTGATTCTGAATAATTTTTCTAGTCTCTGTGTAATTTGTTTTAAAATAAATTCTGTGGGTGTATATAAAGTGATACGGTTTACATTTATCTTACAAGTGTATATATAATACCTGTATATTTAAAAATAATATAAAAAGAGTAATGATCATCATTCTCTTTTTGGGCATTCCCCATGGGGAGAAGTTATGGTGTGAATGATGACTTCTAGTAAATAGAATGTGTGTCAGCTGGCTGGCTGTGGATGTTTAAGAAGCGAGTTTGGGTGGAGGCTGTAGTGAGGTTACTGTCCCAGCCTGAAGGGACATAATAGCAGGGCAAACAAATGCCATTACATGCAAGTGGGTCCCTGGTAAGGGCCTAGACTAAGAACTGTGTTTGGTAGCCTTGTGTCTCACAGGAGGAGGAAAATCCTGAGACTTGCTAAGGACACTTGCTGTGGTGGTGCCTGAGTAGTGCTTCGCTGCTACTTGTTCAGCTGTCTGCCGTGGGCCGAGCAGTGTACAAAAACATGCCTGGGTAGAAAACAAGTACTCAGGTGTAGCTTAGAATCTTGTTGGCCGGAGCTTCAGTTTTTGATGTAGAGCCAAGTTGAATGGCCCAGTGAAAGGTCTTGTCTGTAGAGGTCAGTACCTACGAGCTTGGTGTCAGTGGCACCAGCACGTGTTGGGTGAGGGAGGCTGGGCTGTGACCCGGCCGTGTGCAGGACTGCTGCCAGGCTGTGTGGCAGGGTCATCGACTGCCAGAGACAGGGCCTAATTAGTGCTGTGGAGATAATGTCTTTTTAGTCTCTTCTCTTTCTCTTCCTGGTAAATAGATATTTGTAGTTTATATTTTGTTTTGCAGAGATGGGGGACCAAGATATTGCTGCTCAGAAAGTAAACTGGGATTATAAAAAGCTGTCAGCTGTGATCTTGCAGTGAAATACTTGTGTTCTGTTTATCTGTAAGGAGTCATATTTTTTTTGTAGACAAAATAGTTACATCTGTGCTCATAGCTGGTTTTGACTCTAAGCACATGCGTTCGCAGCAGAACAGCAATTACAAAACAAAAGTGATTCATTTGTACAAGGAATGATCCGCAGCAACTAGGTCAGGCAGTGGCTTTGGCAAGCCATGCTATCATTGTTTGCCATGAAAATAGCATTGGAGCTAGAATGGCACTCAGAAGACTCAAGGCTGAGATGTCCAAGGTAAGCAGTGTATTTCATGAACCTCTCTAATGGTTTTCCAGTACACTGAAAAGTTTGAGTTCCACGTATTGCTCCTGTAGTTTTCCAACTTTTCCTTTAGAAAAGAAGAAAAAACATCCTATGTTTTGTTTTGTTTTTAGTTCCTTCGGGAGTGATACAAAATGGAGCTCGAGTACTGAGTAGAGGAATATTTCCTGGAGCCAGGCCATTGCCAATCAACCCTATAGGGAGCATGGCTGTCACAGTAAGGTAAGAGTGCATCATTGTGGGATCTGTATGAAATAAATCAGTATTTTGCAAAAATTGTAAAAGTATATGTGAACTCCGGGTATTTTGCTGCTTGCCAATGCTTCTGAGGTTCTAAATTAAATAAAACTCTGCCATCTAAAATTCTTGGGGTATGATCCTTTGCGAGATAGTCATGGCATATCTCTTTGTTATGTGGTGGTTTGTGAAAAGCACTTTTATTTTCACTAGCAAATTGCAGGCAGTTTGTGGTGAGAACCTCCTATAGTGCCCTGTTTTTCTAAGTGCAAATTCTTTTTCCTTATCCTCCCCTCTCTCCCTTTTCTTAAAGACTTTTTCCTGGATTAAATACCAGAGACAAAAGTATCAATAATATTAAAGCAAATCCTGAAAGCTATTTGAACATACAGCTGTCGTTTTGTTATTAACTTAGATCTTTGTGAGGCAATTTCTTTCACTAGAGTTTTATTTCAAGGTTATACTGAAACATTCAAGGGTAAAATGTTGTTTAAGATCCTCAACTAACAGGAAGCAGGGCAGTAAGAGACATCTAGTGATAGCAGTAGGAACTGTGGTTCAGTGGTTTGTTTTGCTTAAAGCAGTGCTGGTTTATTGGTGGAAGAACAATTTGCTCCAGGTTTAGCTCCATTTTCAGTCAGTCACAACAGAGATTAATTTGGTCAAGTGTACTGCCAGTACTGCTAGTGCCCTCCTCTTTCAGAACTCTCAGTATCTGCAAAAACTATTACAGCTCAGGCAGTTGGGTATTTTGGGTGGGGTTTCATAATTAGTGCTGACCTTAACTTCACAGTGCTGCTCCAATTACACTGTCTTTTCTCAGGATAGGGCTGCAAGGCAGTGAAATAAAGTATCTCGGTAGGTCTTATTCCATTGCTATTTACATGGGGTTTTTTATTTTTTATCCCTTTTCAGAATCAGTGTCTAGCCCTTTGGGTGCAGTATTTCCATCCAGTAAATGGAGAGAAACACAGAGAGAGCTTGTGACATTCATGTAGTCCTGATGCTTAAAATGCATAAAGGGGAAGACACTGATTGGAATAAAATCCATATTTTTTGATGAGTGAGTTCTTCAGCTGTTTTTCCCATTTGCTGCACTGAAGGGATGCAACTCCAAGGGTCATCCTCCAGAATTCTGCAGAGTTCCTCTCCATCTCTCTTTACCACAGCTTGGCCTTAGCAGCAGGGGTCAGTTCTCTTCATCAGCTTTGCCACTGGCTTTACCCAGGACTTGTATTCTGCTCCAGTGGGGATTGCAGAGCCATGACTACTGGATCATTAATTATATATAATTTTTATGAGGTTTTCAAGCTAAATGGAGAACATAGTGGTCTCAGTGTTCTCTTTAGAGTTTATTTCCTGTTTAGACTGTTTCATAATCAGAATTGACTCATGGAGGAGATAGAACTATTTTACTTCCAGGCCACTTGAAAACTTCTGTGTAGGCATTCTCAAATTCCTGTGCTGTAAAGCTGTATATAGTTACATTTTATACATTTTCAAATGTTTCAAAGGACTGTTTCTCATGTTTTTTTTTTTTCCCAACAGGTAGAGAACGGGATTTTTACCAGCTACCTATTAATGTAGAGATGGGAAATTAGGGATTTTACCCCTCCTTTGCTTACATTCTTTTTGCTCTGTCGCACAGGAAAGCATTTATCATTAGTTAATGCAGACATTTCTAATTCTTTTTGTTCTCTTCTCCAGCCTTAGGCAGTATTAGAAATAGCTTGCTATGAATATATTCCTGGCGTGCATAATGTCTGCTCATATTTAAAATCTCCTGCAATATCCCCTCTTTTAATTCTTGAAAGGCAGAGGGAGACACAGACAAGAGGCTTTGAAAGCTTTTGAGAAGTTAGGGGACTCTCTTCAACAGAGCGAGTTCAGCAGGCAGTTTTGTCTTGTTTGCTTCAGGGATAATACTATTCAGAATTTCTTTGGGAAGAAGATCAATCTGGACTCACAATGTCTCTTAGAACATCATCTGGTCCTCTCAAAACTGGATACCTGTCTTATCAGTTCCTGTGAAAATTACACTGTTTCTTGGTGCCAACCCTCTCCTCAGATACACAAGACTAAATAGGACCTGTCGTGTTCAGCTTTCAGGGTGTCTCATGAGGATAAATTCTGTTTATAATGTGCAGCAGGGGAAATTTACCACAGCATCCATGCAGCCTTCTTTTGCAATTTAGGAGTAGGTGGGCTGCTCAGATTGAGCTGTCATTCCTGCACAGATGATGATGGTGCAGTCAGACTGGCAGGGGATGTTTTCAGACCTGTGCAGGAAGGTTGATTTTCCCCACTAGTTTGTACCAGGAGGGAGGTGTGGGCAGTCACAGTAGGTGGTGCAGTCTCCTGTTAAGTTTTCTGCTGAATTTCTGTGCCTCTGCCTATATATTGAGAAGCCAGACAGCTTCTTTCTAAGACTTTTTAAATCAAATGTCTGTTTTCTTGAGAAGTGTTCCTTTGGTGCTGTAAATGAAAGGTCTAAAGTCACCTGAAGAAAGTAATTTTAATCATTCTCATAGGGGACCATTAGCATTTTCTTAGTAGCAGATAGTTGCATAATAAATTAAACCTCTACTGTTTTTCTTTAGTTACTGTATGTAGGAATCACAGGTTCTTCTGGACGATGCTGGTCTTTTGTTGGCACTTCCTTGCTGTCTGAGGTGTTTGTTTCATTTTGTGTTTTATTTCCTCAGTATCTTAATGGCCTTTGGTTTAGTTGTCCCCCAAGCTGGTGCAAGTAACTTGCAGTAAGTTGTACTGTTGTGCAGTGCCATTAGTGCCAGAACACAGTAACAGTGGGTTAAATTTGCAGTTAGGTGAGGTGTTTTGACTAATCTGTTGTTCAGAAAGGAGGACAAAACTACATTGGACTAAGAAGCTGCAGTCTGTGATTTTTGATGCGTTAACTGCCATCAATTTAAAAGTTTACTGTGCTGTTCATCTTCGACAGTGTGACTGAATGCACTGGCATATTTTGTTCCTACACAAGGTATCAATGTGTTGCTCTTCCCTTGTAATTACATGTAATTACTTTATATTTAATATATAAAATAAGGTACAATTGAATTAAGTCCTTTGGGTTAAAAAATCCTCCTGGAAATCATTTAACAAAGATGACTTTCCATGAATAAAGAATTGCAGTTGAGGATATCATCATTATTTTGTAGTGCATTTGACTTAAATTGCACAAATAGGCCTTTCATTCCAAACTAATCTACAAATGGAAAGGCATCCCACACTATTTTTACTTTGAAAATCATCCTCTGGTGTTAAATCTCCACAACAGAGCATAATTGGATGTGTTTTGACAGTAGCTTTTTATTTACTTTATTCACACCACTTTTAGCTTGTTTACCATCCATATTTTCCATGTTGTGGCTGACAAGTCTAAGACCCACCCAAAAACAGCAGGGAAAAATAACGCTTCAAAGCTGCACAGCGTGTAGCATGTCTCTAGATGAGATCCATCATATTTTGGGGATATTTTTGGCAGACCATATCCCTATATAGTTCCCTGAGAGAGTCTACAAGCAGATGCAGTGACAGTCTGCATATGTAGAAAAGACACTGACTTACAGACAGAGGTATTCAATGAAAGCAGGCAAAGCCAGTAGTTCCTTGGGTGCAGCAAGGAGTTGGTTGTGAAAGTGAGCTCTTGCTCTTCCTATCATCATCCATTGGAAAATACCTTTTAAATGTTTTGCTAGGAGGACTTCTGTGTTGCTTTGGTAGGGACAGTATCTGTCAAAGTGGCCAGTGCATATGAGATTCATGTGTCTTGGCAAGGTGCACAAAGCTTTTACAATATATAATTGCCTTCCACAGGAGTCAGGTATTACCTGTTACATCAGCCCTTGGGAAGAGCACAAGCTTGGAAGTTGATCTAACATTTGAGATTACATAATGTCAATTCCACTGTGATATTTGTAATTTTCTGCAGTTATCCATAGTGTGTGGGTGGTTTATTACTATGTCCAAGTCCTGCTGCTGTGCAGTAGAACTACTGAGCCTCAGCCCCTCATCTGCCTAATGTGGACAGATCCACTGAGGTGAGGTTGATGGAAATTCATCCCACAGAGAATCTTACCAGCTGTTTAGCATAGGCCTTGTAATTTGGTTCAGGTTATTTTACAGAAGATGTTTTACAAAATACCCTTGGTAATTTTTTTTTAAATACTTACTTATATGCTACAGCCTAGGTAATAGGTTAGACCACTTTGGTACTGTTTGTTAGAAATATCTTGGGTTTTAAATTACTGCAGGTTAAAAATTAATGGGAAATTACATGGGGTTTTCCCCATTTTATCCAGTTCTCCTTCACCAAACATTTGTAGTTTCTCAGTCCCAGTTTTGGCTGGGATGCAGTTTATTTTCTTCCTAGTGACCAGTACAGAGCTGTGTGTTGGCTTTAGTATGAGAATAATGTTGATAATATGGTAATGGTTTAGTTACTGAGCAGAACTTGTCCTAGATGAGGACTTTTCAGTTTCCCATGCTCTGCCAGTGAGCAGGTGCACAAGAAGCTGAGAGGGAGTGGGGGCAGAGCAGGTGACCTGAACTGGCCAAAGGGATGCTCCATCCCATAGAGCATAAACTGGGAGAGTTGGCAGGGAGGAGCTGATCACTCCTGAGCGATGGATTGAGCTGGGAGCAGTTATGTTGTGCATCCCTTATCTTTCTTGTCTTTTATTCCCCTTTTGGTTACCTCTCTCTTTTTTCATCATTTTCATCGTCCTTGTTGTTACTGGTTTTGTTGTTACTTACTTTATTTCGAAGTGTTCATATCTCAACTCATGGTTACCTTTTTCCAGTTCTCCTCCCAGCCCCACCTGGAGCAGGGAAGAGCAAGCAGCTGCATGGGACATAGTTGCTGGCTGGGATTAAACACAGACACTCTCAAGGAATTTCACAATTACCTGTAAATTGCAAACCGGCTTCTTAAAGAACTCCCCTCATTAAAAAAAAATATTTCTGTTCAAGTTTCCAAGATAAAATTTTTCTTCTTCATAGGGAAAACAAGTGCACCTGCACTGGCAGGGCTACAGCTCTTCCTTGATTTTGAGGAATTTAAAAAAAATTCAACAAAAAAACTAGCAGAGAAACAATAGAACACCCCAGATGCAACACTAACAAAACTTACCTACTTCATCATGAGTAGATTTTAAAATACCTGTTCTTCTGCTATTAATGCCACAGTTCCATATGCAGCTCCTGATCACTGGGGCATGACAAGAATGAGTTTTGTACTTAACCTTATCTAAAGATGGGAAACGGTTATTTAGGATTATTTGCACTTCAAAATTATAGGGCAATTACTAGATTATCCCTTGGGCATAGCTTTTATTATTGTGACTTTATTTCTCATGCTGGCTTTATTTTTGCTTCCATTTTCCTCCCTCGAAGCAGCCATTCAAGCAGTGATTAAATAAAACAAACATAAGAAGCATTTGCAGAGTAGATGCATAAGTATAATTATTATCATTCACTTATATTATCTGTGAATTACTATTTTTGCTGAGATAAAGGAATTGGTGGGTATTTCCTTTCATAAATTCTTAATTGTATCTTTGTAGTGCTTACCACTGGTGTGATCAGCTTAGCAAGCCCCAGATCATCCCTGTTGCATTGCATTCCCCTCCCCACCTGTAACGGGCAGGATGAGTTACCCTTGGGAGCCAAAGGACAATAATGCTGACTGACTTGAGTATTCTCTGTAAAATGTATGGGGCTCCATTTGGTTTAATTTCAGATCTGCTGCTGATACTGCTGGCAGTTCATGAAGTGTATTTATTGTGGTCCTTTGCATACAATTTTTCTCTGAAGTACCTCTAAGAGCTTCTGTCACTATTGTGAGCAACTCACTGTTGACTTTTAACTCAGTAAAACCCTGACAGAATCTCATTGTAGAGCAAGTAAGCACCACTTACTTTTCATATGCTTACTCATCCTTCTGTGTGCTGTCGTGATTTTAAAAAGCAGTTCAACTAGCTGGAGCCAAAAGTTTTGACTGTCCTGAATTTCCCTTTGAAATAAAAAAAATTTGGTTTTTTTTTTTTTTCTTTTACAAACCTGGAATGTGTCAAAATCTACAAACCCAGCTTACCTTTACAGTTTTCATTGTGTCTTTTAACTGTGTGTTTCCAATTGCATACAAAACCTGTCATCTGTGGGTACACAGTATCTGTCATCCAGAAGGATCAGAGGTAGATTAAGGTGATATTTAAACTCCACATAGGTTTTCTTTGTTCATCAAAGGAGTATACCTGTCTCCAGTGTGAAATGCAGTAAGTTTTTTTCAGCAAAACCTTTGCCATTTTGCAAACAGAATGTGATTAGCTATATTTCTCTCAAGCTAGCAGAGAAGTTTAAGGAAGATATGCCTGTATGTGGTAAAATGACAGACTCACTTTTGTCTCCTCCTGAGGAAGACCTCTCGGAAACGCCGAGGCACTAACACTGCAAAGGACATTATTTCCTCTAACTTGAGACCCAGCTGCCGTGAGTCTTGTCTGGTTTCTGATGGCATTGGTAGCAAAATTCATATCAGTTAACAATGGGAGTGAAGTCAGACTTTCAGAAGTCCAAACTTACATCTGCACTGCTTGAGGATTGTGTCATTGTGGTGCAACCAAATGGAAATATTCTAAAAAGAATCTTTAGAATTCCTTTAGGCTGAGATCCCTCAAGCAAATAAGATAGTCCGTGTCAGTAGGATAAAAAGCCCTAGAGACTGTCCCATCGACTTTAAAGCATGAAAGTATGTCAGTTTCTGGAAATTTTGAAATGAAGTTCTGAACAAAAAAGGGGGGAGACAAAGAGAGTTACAACCAAAACTGTGAACACAAATAGATTGAGCTAGCCAAAATCTGTGTCCTGAAACCCAGAGGAGTTCTGTCCAGTGATGGTCTAGATTGAACTACATAAATCACAGATTTGTTTCATAGTGAATATATGATTGTCTAAGAGCAGTGTAGATCTTGAGAGTGTCTCAGAAGCATGTGTGGAATATTAATTGTTTAGATATTAGTTCATTCAACTCTTACTAAACTACTAATATCAGTTATAAGTAATTAATGTTTGAGCTATTGCATATTAAGATACACATCAGATTAATATATTTTCTGGGTACATGGCTTTTGATGTTGTGAATATCCTAAAGCACTCTGCCTGTATAACTTTTTATTTTTCTGCAAATATCCTTTGCTAATTCTCTCCTTGACCTGCTTTCTCTTCCTTTTCTATTTCCTCAAGCAGAACTGGTTGGAAATCTTTCAAAATGTAAGTGAAACCAAAGATTTTTCTGAGACATAAATGCTATCCATTTCCTGACCAGTTCCACTTTCTTCTGAAGTGCACTGGTATTTTCTTTTCTCCCCTTTTTCGTTTTACAGCAATTCTTTTTTTTGCACCTCTTTGTGAACTTCTGTTTTTCTTTACCAGCATCTCTGTTTGCAGTCACTGTGGGATGATAATCTCATACCCTCTCCTCTGGGACATCCCTCTGTAGTCCCTGGGAATTTCATTTTATTTTTATGCTGCTTTGGAGGAATTGGGATCTGGAGTAAGTCCCATGGGCAGGGCTTTTGAATCCAGATTATAGCTTCTTCATGTAAAGGCAACATTAGAGACTCATGAGCAGGACAAATCAGGGATATTTCTTTGGCATGTGGATGCACTGCTTGATGGAGCTGTGGCTTTCTTTTTATTGACAGTCAGTACAAACTCACAAGAGGAGATCTAAATAGCATAAAAATGGGTGTCTTGGTTTAAATCACATTCTTTAGAAGAAGCCTTGTTCACTTGCAGTCAGTAGGAATCCCATTTGAGTTCACACCTATTCTGTCCTGTATTTGTTTCCTTGGTGAATGGATTGCTATGTTTTAGTGGAAAATTAGTAGTGTGTGGTTTTTGGTAAGCCATATTGCTCTGACTTTTAGCTGCCTTGTAAAATCAAGTAAGTTTAATTTTATGGTAATTTATGATAATTTTTAACATTTTTAAATGTAAATTTACCCTAAAAATGAAGAATCTGTCACTTAAAATGCATTACATGCTTCCTTGTAATGGCTGATCTTAAGGAGTTAGTTATAAATTCACCTTATAACTAGCTTAGTATGGATGATTTCTTATTCTAAGCATTTGGCATCCTCTAATGACAACCCCTGCAGTTGCAAGCCATCACAGTGTAAATGCAGTTGGCTTGCTGCACAGTCATGAATGACATTGCACTTAGTTATTAATAATTGAAGAAGCTTTGTATATTCCTTCTGAGTTCTTTATGGAATTTATGGATCCTACATCTACTCAGAAATCTAGGCAAAAGTAATTTTGTTGAGCAAAAGAGGTTGGCAAGAGCCTTTCTCTGCTAATAAGTGTACCTACTATTCTATACATTTCTTTGAAAGCACTGTAAATAACATTTGGAATTACTGATGAATTTGCTGCCTTCTAGCATTGTCCTGTCACTGGTTCATAAATACAAGGGGGTTTCTTATCTCAGTGAGCTCTTGGGGACAAGGGCATGTAGATGAACAAGACTGTGGAATTACATACCACTTATTTTTCCCACCTTTCAACCTAGCCTTTCAGAATTGGGTAATACTCAGCTGTTTCTTGTGTAAGGAAACCATACATGAGGTCCATTGCCTGAAACCTAAAGTACTCTCCCATTTTTTAAAGTAGAAGAGCAGTAATACTCTGGACTTGCCACTGTGCCATTCCTCTTGAGAAACATCTATGTTCAGTGTGTGCATTTAAGAAAGGGGTTTAATCCAACACTGCCCCAAGCGTGCAAAAGCACTCTAATGGTAACATGAAGATGGCAAGTTTAAATCAGTTTATCATGTGATGGTTTAAACAGCCTTGTTTTTTTGTTGGATTTTTTTTAATTGACAGAGAGGTTCAAGGCTGGTAAACTGGCAGGTGGCAGTGATGATTGCTTTACTCAGTGACAAGCATCCTACTCTCCTCCTTTCCAGCAGGAGTTAAGCATTGTACAGAATCAGTGCCTTCTTTAATACTATTATAAGCATTATATTCTGTTTTTTAAAGTCAGTGGAATGTTCTAATACTTTTCACTCAGGAAAAAAAAACTGTTCGTTTTTAAACATATCATGCTGCAGTAGTTCCCACTGCACAGGATGCCATAAAACCAAAGGAGGAAATGACAACTTCTACAGCTAATCCAGATTTATTTTTTCTACTGCTTGTTTTTCAACTCGTTCTGATATTTTCTTGGCAGCTAGTGATATAAGATTGTATTGCTTTTAAGATTATTTATTAACTGATCAGAATCAGAACTGTGACTGGACCTGGTTGTTCCTTCTCTTGCAAAGAGTCCTAAATAGAAGTTGTGCTACTTCCCAGGTGAACCGTGGAATGCAAGTTGGAATTAGAGTTGGAAAGTGTCTTTCAGAGGAGGCAAGAAATTGTCCCAGAAAGCTACTGTCTCTTCCCCACATTTTTTGTAGTATCACTTAATATGCAAAAGATGGGGGGCTATTTATGCAACTTACCAGAGTTTATTTACCCAATAGGTAAAATAATGTTGGGGGTTTTTCTTTTTAATTTTTGAATGTGTAAACTATTAATTGAAATTTAAATCAATACTGTTTACACATCATTTATTTGTAACCATCCCCTACTTTTTCCTGATTCTTTTGCTGTTTTGCATCTTTTGGCTTGTTTTGTATGTCAAGTCCAATCCACGAACAATTAGGCTTTGAAACCAGCTTGCTTGGACATTGCTTTGATAGTCATCATTTCAGATTGTAATTTCAGTTTATCTGTCAGTTGGCTTTATCATCTTTTGCTTTGAAGCAGGATCACATCTCTGTGGCTTCTAAGACTGCTTGGATTTGTTTTTACAGGAATGGAATAACAAACTGCCGTATGCGGACAGAAAGCGAACAGTCCTGCGGCTCTCCAGTTGTTAGCGGTGACCCAAAGGAGGATCACAACTACAGCAGTGCCAAATCTTCCAACCACAGGAGCACATCACCTGCTAGTGACTCCATTTCCTCTTCCTCTGCTGACGACCAGTATGAATTTGCAACTAAAGGTAGCCAAGACAGCAGTGAAGGAAGTGAAGTTAGCTTCCAGAGCCACGAGAGCCATAGCGAAACAGAAGAGGAGGACAAAAAGCAAAGTCGGAAGGAGACCAAGGATTCTTTAGCTGACAGTGGATATGCATCCCAGCACAAGAAAAGGCAACATTTAATGAAGGCGAAAAAAGTACCAAGTGACACACTGCCTCTTAAAAAGAGACGTACAGAAAAGCCCCCTGAGAGTGACGATGAGGAGATGAAAGAAGCAGCAGGATCACTCCTGCATTTAGCAGGAATTCGATCCTGTTTGAACAACATCACCAATCGGACGGCAAAGGGGCAGAAAGAGCAAAAGGAAACCACAAAAAATTAGAACAAATCAATGATTTGTTTGAACTTACAAAGTTTTGTTTCAGCACGTCAGGTGAATTCTAATGATTTGTGGCAATATCAGCAATTTTTTCCTTTTTTGATTTTCTTCTATTTCTTTTTGTTTTGTTTCTTTGGGTTTTTTTGTTTGGGTTTTTTTTTTTTTTGACCCTTTTTTTTTTTTTTTTTTTTTTTTTTTTTTTTTTTTTTTGTCCAATAGTTGTTTTTTTTGACTCTTAAGATTTTTATTTTTAAAGGAGATTGAAGCCATAGAACTCATACTGACACTCAGCTAATTTACAAAAGCTTTTCATTACCTGAAGACAAAAAGTTAACAAAAAAAAGAAAGCCAAAATCGCCATTGCTTTCTCCAGCTTATCAAAAATGCATGGTTGAATACGCAGTGATATCCACATTAATGTGATGGGAGTAAAATTGGGCACTTGGAAATCCCTCTTATAGTAGAGGAGCTGTGCATAATTAAGTATTCATTCAGGCCTGGCCCTTAAGAATTTTTTTAATGGCCTTACCATTGGGTTAGAAGTGAATGTGAATAAAGAGATTTGTGGGAAAGAGGAGGCATGTACTTCTCAACCAGGAACTGTTTGGTGGCACTTGGAGATGTTGTGCCACACAAGTCTTCAGACAGCCACTGGTGGCAACTGTGCAAGCAGTAATGCACTTCTAGTGTGTCACATATTCTATGTGGCTCATAATGAGAAGACTGGTAACTCTTAAGTTTGAGGAAACTATGTATGCAATGGGTTTCAGTGAAATAATGAAATGGGAGGGGTGTGATTGTTAGTAGCATCATTAACCATTGAATTCTGTCTTCTATATTAAATTGAAAGAATGTTCAAAAAGCCATAAGCCTGAAGATTGGCACTGCGTGCAAAAAATAATAGTAATAGGGAAAAACAAACTATGTCTTCTAAACTGCCTGAGTGAAAAGTAATCAAGTTTAAGAAATTACAGTAGATACAATGTACATCAGAATCTTTTTCTGTGGATCACATCCTTGATCTAACGGGAAAAAATGCTACAAAACCTGCCATTAGTAGTATTCTGTATTTAAAAATAGAAGGAAAGTATATTGGTGAACAGTAAAATTCAGAAGTTCAACAAAAAAGCTCCTACACTGCCCTCAGAAATGAGTGTGCAGTGACCATCAGTCAGGATTCATCTGTGCAAAAATGACAACAAATTTCCAGATTCAACCAGCATAGCCAGCAGAAGAAATTTGATCCACATTGCATGGATTCTTTAGGGAAAGGGGGAAAACAAAAAGCAAACAATTTTTTTTATTCAAAGATGACAAAGTTCTTGTAAGGTAAATAATGTATTTAGCATGAAGCATGAATTATTTTCATATAAATATAGAAAATAGAGAAAAAGGCTATGCCTCTAATTTTTAAGCCCTTAGGCTTAGAGTTTGTTTTTTGGGGGTTTTGTTTTGTTTTGTTTTTGTTTTGGTTCTTTTTTGTTGTCGTTGGGGTTTTTTTGAAGCAGGTGTTTAAGGTTTAACCTTCTTCAGGGACAAACACTGACTGTTGGGGAACTTACTCTGCAATATTAAAAAATAAAATCTTCATGCTCTGGTAGGGCTTGGATGGTTGAATTATACTGCCTTGTCTGCACATTCAGCCCCCTCTCCCTACTTCTGTTAAAAAAAAAAAAAAAAGAAAAAAAGAAAAAAGTAAAAGTGTGTCTTTTCTTCGTCTGTACATGTGTAACATGACGCAATAATCTGAGGGCAAATTTAGTAGTGAGTGTGTATGACAGAATCAAGAAAATAACGGGAGGTTAATTGAGGAAAACTCTCTGATTTGATTCAGGAATAAGTAGACAAGAAAATAGCTTTGCTAATTTGCCATGAAAAGTTGAAGTTAGCTAAGGGCCTTATGGTGGTGTCCGGATTAAAAAAAGTGTTCCAGAGATTGTGAGTCAGGTACAGTGCTACTCTCCTGGTAAGGATGACTGTGAGACTGAAAATCACTACAGCAGAGAGAAGCTGTGAAATAAACAGAACAGTCTCTCTCACCTAGATTCTTGAATTTGGCATGAAAAATTCTACACATAGAATATCCTAGAGGAAAAAAGAAAATCCCAGAAACCAACCACTTAAGAGAACAAAATGGTCGGTTTCTTAAAGAGTATAGGTTTAGATTTATCACTAACAGCTGTTTCAGGCAGTAGTTTCACCAAGATGGATCTAGTTTATGAAGAGTGAGTTAGAGAAGGGTTTGACTTCCTCCTCAGTGCAGTGAGCTAAAAGTTATATTTGGAGTTGCCTGTGATGTGTGCTCAGTTAGGACGTGGAAGGACTGAAGGACAGGCAGGTCTGGACCTGGTTCTGTGCCCCGCAAGCATCTTGTAAAGAACAGTGCAGCATGCAGCACAGCAAAAGCGTGCCTCTCCTCCCATCTCAGCCAGCATGTCCTGGGATCCAGGAGCAGCTTGATAGCTGCCAGAGCTCAGCACAACTGCCATCTTAGGAGATAAGGAAGGAGAGAGCCGTGGATAGTGCAAGGAACAGCCTTGTTCCTCTCAGTTTGCAGGGGTCGATGCATGCAGGGTTGATTCCCAGCATTAGTTAAGGCAGGAGTACATAGAGACTAACTTCTGTTGGCTGCCTGCAGCCTTTAGATAATGTTGGGGAAAACAGGAAGGACCAATCCCTTGGCCAGGTAACACAGAGATGAATGAGCCATAACATTTCCCTTGTCTGATTAGACTGGGGTAATCTGCTTCTTCCCAAGTCCATGCTCTCTGCAGCCAAAGTCTGTAGGCAGTGAAACACACAACCCTGTACAAGAGAACTTGGTCTTCATCTTTTACAGACTTTTGGGAGAGTCATTTGAAACAGAAGATACTATAGTATCACTTTGCCACCACCTTTGCTCATTAATGCATAGTTGTATCAGCTTGGGAGTGGCTTAATATTTACCAAAAACAGCACCGAAAAATCTAGTGGCAGAAAATACAAACCATGGCTCAGCCATCTCTGTCCTCCAGGGAAAGAAATGTGTTTGTGTGCCAGTGGCCAGATTCTGTCCACAACACTAATTCCAGAGCAACTTCTCTGATCGCAGTGTGTCAGTGCAAATGAGATCAATATCTACTGAACAACAAATACCATTCATTAATGTGGACTCTTGGTGGCTAAATATATAATTACCACTAGTATTACTCATCTTAGAAAACAGTCATTTTGCATAAATATCTAATTAGGCAGGTTAACTTTATACAGATATATATATATATATAAAACACCTATCTAAGACTTCGGCAAGTTCTCTATATACTTCCTGGTAAACCTAAAATGTTGGCAAGCATCTATTTTCATATTAAAATTTGTTTCTCCTAGCTTGATCTACTAGGGAGGTATTCTTTGGTAGGATTTTACAAAGTTGTGTTCAGGAACCAGCAGTTTGGGCTGCAATCATTGGATTATTTCTGGTGTTTAAAAACAACTTGTCCTTATTGATGCTTACTCTGACTGTGGATGAGAAGTACATAATTTGGATTGCATAAAGTATTTAGGAGTCACCTTTTAAACCATATTTGTGCCTGGCTGACAATGGCAACTTTGTCAGAACTGGTTCTACTCCATCAGAGAAGTTCTCTTTTTTTTGTGTAAGAACTGAAATTGATTTGTTTTCCAAGAAATACGATGTCAGCTTTTAATCGAGTTGTCTTTACTTCAACTGAATGATGTCAAAACGGACTGGTAATTGCACTGTATTACAAACTCTCTCACTTGCCAGATAGGAGGTGGTGTGGATTTGCTTGTTTGCTTTCCTTCTAAGCCATTTTGGGGTGAGAAGTTGTCAAATCTCTTAACTTCCCCTTCTTCTCACTCTTAAGTATTGCCAAATTAGCGTTTCTCCAAGACAGGTGGGGGCAAGGTCAGCAAGTGTTCAGTGGTGAGTTTCACATGGACATGAATTGTAAGGGTTGCTGGACTTCATGGCGAGTTCCTTTGGAATATGCCTTTTGCAGCAAGAAGCTCTTGCAGGCCAGAGCTAATGCCATAAGCAGATTTCACCAGCATCTCCAGGGAGGTGAAATCTGCTGATCATGCTTGCATTCTGCAAGCAGTTGGATGTCCTACTGCATTTTGGTGCAGATTCTGCTTGCATTCAAAAATGCAAGCAAGGTCTTGAACAGCTTAAATGTATCACCCCATAGCTGTTTCTGAAAGCAGTTCTGCTTCTGATCTTCTCCTGGCAAAATTGGCAGTAGTTCTACAAAGATCACAGGGCTTGAAAAGCCGAATTGGGAGTGAGGAGGTGTGCCCTGTAGGACTAGAGAACTGTCCTGACACTGTTCTCTTCTCTCCAGCAATTGAGATGAGGTTCATCTTCTGGTTCCTCTCCTACTTTAATGGGAGAAGGGAATCCCAAAGGAGATGCATTGGCTCCCAGTGTTCAGCTGAATTACTGTCTACTTGTGGAAAAGATACAGAAAAAAGCTGGAGGCTGCATTCTTCACTGGAGTGAGGTAGAGATACATTGACATAGTTTAGCAGAGATTGAAATCCTAAATTGTACACCAAATGGCACCATGGATAAAATCACCAAAACAACAGTTTGTCCTGGTTTCTTAATAGTAGTAATTTATTTTTGCTGTGGTTTTGGCTCCCATCCCAATCTATCTAAAGATGTAGATCATAGAATCAAAATATGTTGAATTGGAAGGGACCCATGTGACTCTTGGCCCTGCACAGGACACACCAAGACTCACACTGTGGGTCTGAGAGTGCACAATCTGAGTTTTTCTAGAACTTGAAGGTGTCTGGTCTCCTTTGCAGTTAGTGGAGGTATAGACACCCAAGTGCTTCTGGAAGCCTTTACCTATTATTATTATTGTTACCACAATTTTTGCTTTAATCTGACCCTAGGCATTTTTGAAAATATTACTCTCCTGTGCTCCAGGATCAGCATAAAACTACTGAGAAACTGCATTTCCAATGCAATTTACTTCACTTCTTGGAGAATGCAAACCCAGCTCCTTCAGGCACATCACTACTGCCTGAACAGCTCATTGGCATATTTTGTAGGAAATACTTTGAAACATTTTCTTAACTTTGCCACCAAAAGAGCATTTGAACCATACATCCTCCTGATTGTAACTGAGTATCAGTGTTGACCGTCTGACCAGTTAAGTTTTAGTAGTGTTCTTC